GGAGGAGGAGGAGGAGGAAAGAAAAGCTCAATTTGAAACAGGGATAGGATCTTCTAATCAAGTCTGCCTTGTAGCTGTGGGGAGGGAATTGATGAACTGCTAACTTCCACCCTGAATCTGATTGGGGGCCAAGCTGAAGGCCATGGCCAAATGTTTTTGCTTACAGCTCCTAAACACCTTGATGTGCTTAAGCTGAAGGTCACAGGCAGAAGACAAGGAACCCAGTAAAGCTATCTAAGATTGAGTTAAGTCATCCACCTGGTACCCTGCAGCCAGACAATTTCCCACAATGGCTGATGTAGGAAGGAAAAGGGGTTAGGAAGAAAAAGAAAATATAACCCAGGCATGACTGATTAGAATTTTATGATGCCTTCAGTACCTGGTTATGGTGGAAATAAGATCTATCCATGAGAATTACAATCCCATACTGTAATGATATGTGGAAATGACCTTGGGAGACTGGGCCCAGAGACACTGCCTAGGGAACGGTCAGATAAGAGAGGGCATAGCCCGCAGCTGTAAAATGGGTGGAGAAAGAGGCTCAGAAGGGACCCTCCCTAAGTTCTCAGGATGTAAAGGAGATGGCAGGAGAAATGTACTTTCAGACTTGCAAGATTCTGTTAACACAGCCTTACAATAAAATAGAATTAGCTCATCTGGCCGGGTTTCCTGTCTGGTCTACCTGGATACATACCTAGAATAAACTCTGCTTTATTTCAGTTAAATATTGCCATCCTGTGGGACTGAGGAAGTGTGCCATGGAACAGCATCCCCCCCACCCCCAGAGATACAGACGGTACCTTCTTTCCTGGGGTTCCAAAAAGTGCTTAAGACTGGCTCTGTTCATGAGTTTGCTGATGTATTGATGGACCCCTGTCATATTTTTGTAGAGTTTATTGTTCTGGTTGCTTTAGTTCAGGCTCCCTGTTTATGTGGGTTTGTTTTTATTGTTTTCTGCATTTTGTAAGCTACCCAGAGTCCAATGGAAGAGTCAGCTATAACACATTTAATAAACTAAATTAAATTAAATTAAACAAATTTTCTGCTGAGAAGCCTCTGAACATTTGCAAAGCAACTTTGCTCATTGTCAAGGGTTCTGGGTGTGTATTCCAAAGCACATCTTCCATTTATAGAGTATTGGGTATGTTTGTTCATCCTTACAGTTAGCCTACAAAAACAGGAAAAAATCTAACTCTGCCTATGTAATGGTATGTGGGAAAGACCTTGGGAGACAGGAGGAAGAGCTGTAGACTGGACAACCAGCATGGAAAAGAAGTCTCAGCCCTCAGAAGGAGGGAGGGTGCAGGAAGTGTTTCAGAAGGGACCCTCCCTAGTTTTCTGGAGAGTAAAAGGAGAGGACGGGAGAAGTACTTTCAGACTTGCAAGATTCTGTTCATGTCACCTTACAATAAAGATAGAGCTAGTACTCCTGGTCTGGACTACCTCAAAGGGCCTTGCAGTATGATGTACAGAATGGGGAACTTAGCTTAGTGGTACAAAACTTATTTGGCATGTACAATTTCCAGGTTCATTCATGGGCAGCTCTGGGTCAAAAAATTGAGCAGCAACATTGGGAGAGGGAATTCCATGGACAGCAGATTCACCGCTTGAAGGAGAAGAAGTTGTCCACCCCCTTCCCCAGTGCTCCCCGCCTTCCCCTCCCCAAAAGCAGAGGCACTGTATCACCATTTACCAGTTGGCTGGGCAGCTGACCAGTTGCCCTGTGAACATCACTTCAAGTGAAGCCCCCCCTCCCTCCTGATTTGACAACTAAAGGTAACATGCCATCCTATTGCAGAAGCACCTGTTAGAATCCATGGTCATAATAGTCTGATGTTTGTGGTGTGAGTTTTAGGAAGTTGTGCTCACTTAAAGTTCTAACCAATGCATTCAAACCACGGTGCACCCATTTGGACTATTGAAATGACTTCTCAACTCAGCACTAGGCCAAGCATTCTGGAATCTGGCCACCTGGGGACCTCATCACCAAATAGACTCATTGTGCCTTTCAAAGTCATGCATTTATTATTTAGTTATTAATGAAACATATTGTTTACCCTGCCACAATTCGAAAACACTTTATCTATTTAATTCTTCAAGGAATAATACGGTACCAAGAACAAACAAGAAGAATCACATCTTCCACTGGTGTTCTTTTGAAATTTGAGTTCCAGCTGGGAACCTGGAAATTATCCAAGTAATGTTGTAAGATATCATCTGTGCCCAGCGAGGTGGTTTTTTGCAAATCCACAGCTGATATAGCCAACATATTTAGTTCTGGTAAACATTTGTTTAATTTGTTATTCTGCCTAATTCACCAATAACTATTGGGGCAACTTTGCAGGATCTTTTCCATAATCTAGCCATTTCAGTTGTTAGTTCTTCATATTCTGTAATTTTTTCCTATTATTTTTCCTCAAACCTGCTGTTTCTGAATATTGCTGCATCTACATTTTTTTTCTTTTCAGTTATTTGTTGAATCTGGTGTGTTATGTTCTAGATGGCCATCTTTGTATCTAAAAATCCCATTAAAATTTAACGTGATTATTTTCAACAACTTCTTCAGTTTTGTGATGATACAGTAGCACATTCGGGAAGCTCAAAACTTGTAATTTTTGCACAGATACCAAAGGACCACATTGACTCTTCTGTCATAAAGTTGTATATACTGTAGTCAGTCTGAGCGATTTTGTTGCATCCGCTAATTCCATAATCTATAGTTTCTTTTCTTTATACAATCTGCATTTCCTGCCGTTCAATCCATGTTGAATCCCTGATTTCATCACATTTATTTGTAATGCTTGTTCTTGAACTGCAAAAAATTAATCCTTCTACTTCCTTCTTGTGGGTGTCAGCTTTATTTTATTTTCTCTTTATTTTATTTTCTCTTTATTTATTTCCTCTTTATTTTCCGTGTTCTTGTATGGCATGGCCGTGCAATAGTTTACATCTCCAATTTTCTAAAAGGTTTTCCAACAATTTACTTTTATGGGTCATTTTGTGCTTCTGCTATTTTCAGGATATTTTATTTGCAAATTGAGATGAGTATTTTCTGTTTGCTTGCCTTGATGTAATTATTTAATCCATGTTTTTCTCCTTCAACTTGCAGTAAACCATGTATTAATTTCTTTGTATTAATTATACTCAATCAACCTCATTTCATGGGTGCAGTGCATGAAGTATTTTCATCAGTTTTTCGGGTTTTCTGATCTAAATGGTCTAATTCAGCTGTCTTCAGTTTAATTATCTGATACCGGGAGCAGATATGTGTTAAAACCACGAACACATGTTGATGTATTTCTACAATTCAACTTTGAATTTAGAATTTTTTGCACTAAATATTCCAAACTGTTTTTTTTTTTACTTCATTATACAAAATGTTATCTTATTTGAGTATTCCTAGATATTTGTATCTTTCTACGGAGAAAGATTTTATGACATTCCTATTTTTGAATGAACCTTCATTTTGTTCAGTTTTTCCTTTCTTTATGCTGAGTGTTACACATTTGTCAAATCCAAATTCCATTTTAATATCCTCAGTATATATCCTTACTGTACTAAGTAAAGATTCAATTTCAGGTTTTGATTTTCTATATAGCTTCATATCATCTATGTATAACAGGTAGGATATTTTTCCAGTATCTTGACAGTTCATATCTTTCTTTTATTTAGGATATGAGTGAGGAGTGTCATTGAGATAATAAAAAGCAACGAAGACAATGAATCTCCTTGAAGAATTCCTCTCCTGATACTACATTTCCAATTTCCAATTTCTTTACCAT